AGATACATTTGCTCCAGTGGCTAAACTCAACACAATCCGAATCCTAATTTCCATAGCAGCTAATAGAGATTGGCCCTTGAAGCAATTCGATGTAAAGAATGCTTTCTTGAATGGTGATTTAGAAGAGGAGGTCTACATGGAGGTTCCACCAGGAGTACAGCTAGCACCTTCAAAAGAAAGTGTAGTTTGCAAATTAAAAAAGGCTTTATATGGCCTTAAACAATCACCCAGGGCATGGTTTGGAAGACTCACGTTAGCAATGAAGAAGTTTGGGTATAAACAAAGTAATTCAGACCATACCTTGTTTATAAAGCATACCAAAGGAAAAGTGGCCATACTTATTGTCTATGTAGATGATATGGTGTTAACAGGAGATGATGTGGAAGAAATGAAATTACTTGAGAAGAGACTGGCTGCTGAATTTGAAATGAAGGATCTAGGACAACTAAAATACTTTCTTGGCATAGAAATTGCAAGATCTGAACAAGGCATTTTTCTATCTCAAAGAAAATATGTTCTAGACCTTTTATCTGAGACTGGAATGCTGGCTTGCAAGCCAGCTGATACTCCAATTGAAATGAATCATTCTCTTGCTATATATCCAGACCAGATTGAGACGGACAAGCATAGATACCAGAGGTTAGTAGGAAAGTTAATTTATTTATCTTACACTAGACCTGACATTGCCTATTCTGTGAGCATTGTAAGTAGGTTCATGCATTCTCCTAGTGAGGAACATATGACAGCAGTATACCGTATCCTCAAATACCTCAAAGGTTCACCAGGGAAAGGTCTATTATTTTCAAAAAATGATAGAGCTTGCATAGAAGGATACACGGATTCGGACTGGGCTGGAGATAAAACTACAAGGCAATCAACTTCAGGGTATTTTACCTTTGTAGAAGGCAACTTAGTCACATGGAGAAGCAAGAAGCAAAAGGTAGTTGCAAGGTCTAGTGCTGAAGCTGAATTTAGAGGTATGGCATATGGCATTTGTGAATTATTATGGATTAGGAGCATCCTAGCTGATTTGGGAATCAAATATGAACAACCAATGAATCTTTTCTGTGACAACAAGGCTGCAGTAGAAATTGCACATAACCCGGTTCAACATGATAGAACCAAACATGTTGAAGTGGATAGACATTTTATTAAGGAAAAGCTAGATAATCAAGTAATTCAAACTCCATATGTTCGGTCTGAAGATCAACTTGCTGATGTATTAACAAAGGCTGTTTCAGGAAGGGTGTTTGAAGAAGTCATTAACAAGTTGGGCATGATTGATATTCATGCACCAACGTGAGGGGGAGTGTTGAAGATAGCATTCGAATTTAAATTATTTGAGCTTGTATTCACTTTGTCGAATAAACTTAAGAAATTCTGAGACTTCTTCATCCGACACTTCCTTTTTCTTTTCATCCATGACTTTTTCATCGTCCCTCGTCTTAACACTCGAAATTCCTTCATTGACGATTGTATTTTCCTTTTTCTCATGGTTTTTTGTCAAGTCTCCTGCTCTAAACTCTTCTGGAGTATAGACTCTACCACTACGGGTCATTCCACCTACCCCGCGATATTTGTTACGTTGGTTCCTGCAGTGTCAATTCCTTCTTTTTTTTGGGCATTCACATAGTCACTCTCTACCTTCGCATCGTAACACCATGGAACCGCCTTAGTGTCATTATAATGAAAAGGAGCTGGAATTTGCACAACAGTGGCTTAAGGGTACTTGGTGTTGATGCGAAAGTGTTTTTGGTGAAGGTGATTACTAGTGGTCTTGGAGTAGTCATATTGGACTTCTCGTCTGATTGAATCATCAATACATCCTCTTTTGTTCGCACTTGGCTCACCTGAACCAAGTTTGAGTTAATCATGCCTTGCAATATTTGCTTGAACTTGCCATATTATCTTTAAATGGAAGATGCACACTTTCAATATGTCACCTTAAGAAATATATTTCCGAAGCAGACAACAAAACTCGCAGACACAAACACCTTGAGCTGAGAAAATCTTGTATAATCATCTAACGTTTTAACACCTTGTTAGACGAATCTAATTATCTATTGTGAAAACGTTTCTAAAAATTCTCCTTGTTCACACAAACACATATTCAACTCCCCTTCTATGTGTTTTTCATCTAACCTCAACTTTGCCTTGCATATTCAACAAGCAAACTCACCTCATGATTCTCGCACACATGTCCCCCAACTTATCTCACCAATTCTAATATTCCTCTTGATACTTACCCCTTCTCTCATCTCAAATACTCACTAATTCCTCACCTCACATTTCTTCTAATAACCAACCCTTTCAACCTATTAGATATTCTATTTGGGCAAAAAAATCATCCACGATATTTGGGGGACTACCATTACAATCTTTCTTCTTCTATTTGTTCCAAGCATTTTTCGTACAATAACAGTTGGTGCAGGAACTATCCCCTGGTGATTAGGAGGCCCATCACCATGAATTGCATTAGGTGGTGCATACATATGGGTAGATGGTGCATGAGCAAATGGGTGGGTTGGAACTTGTGGGTCATTGGATTCGAGGGTTAGGTTTTGGGCTTGTGTTTGATTTGGTGGGTTTAAGGTGGAGGTAGATGGATTACCCTCAGGAATATTAGCCACAGGTGGTGTGTATCCTGGAGGTAAGCCATATGGAGGTAATGGGATTTGGCCTTGAAGGTTTGAAGTGGAAACATGATGGTTATTTTCTGAGGTCGTTAGGATAACAGGTGGTGTGTACCCTTGAACACTCGGGTTGGGTTACGTGCGTGGAGTAAACCCAGGAGGGTAATCAAGTGACTCACGAGGCTGTTTAGACGACTCTCCATTTGCCCCTTTTTTAGATTCCATTGACTACAACAAGTCCAAAATCTTTCCCATTTGTTCCTTCAACTGATTTACCTCTTCTCTCATCTCCTCATGTTGTTGCTCCAAGTCATCTACCATCCCTTCCATGATTTTGGTCTTTGCTCGTGTCCCGTAAGGGTGTCGAAGGGATGCTTTCTTTGCCTCAATAATTGTTTTCTTTTTCAATTTTACAACTGTGTAAGAAAATTTGATGAGTATGCAGTGATATGAAAATGTAACTATGCATCAAGTATGTGCAAATGCTAAATTGTTGGAGAGCCATAAATCGCATGACTCGCATGGAATCATCTTTCTTTAATTGTCTCTTAGATTGTCACGTTCTAGGCACTAGGTCATGGAATCAATGGATCTTTGTGATCATTGTCAATTAAACTTTTCTTTAGAACGTCACGTTCTAAGTACTAAGCGTAATATGAAATGAGTAGTTTTCACATGAGCGTCTTCTCTTAGCTTTCATTTTTAGAGCATAACATTACGACATATATAACGAATAAGGAAGAGAAATCAAAATTTCTTCATTAATAATAATAGTGCAATACATTAGGTGAAGTAATACATCATGATAACTCAAAGATAAAAGTACAAATCATTCACCACTAATAGCCATCTCTCTCATCTTAGCTATCATAACTCTACAATGTTCAAGGAAGTCATAAATTTCTTTGGGAGTGGGATGCGGGATCGCCATTCCTTCAGCTCGTTGTAGCAGGTGAGAGGTGTCATTGAGCATGTTTTTAACTTGCTGAACTCGATTCACAAGATTATATGCCCAAATTTTTTTATTTTCTTCATGTATTCCGATGACATCCCTCAATTGCCTTATTTCTTCCTTGGGTCATTGGATTCGAGGGTTAGGTTTTGGGCTTGTGTTTGATTTGGTGGGTTTAAGGTGGAGGTAGATGGATTACCCTCAGGAATATTAGCCACAGGTGGTGTGTATCCTGGAGGTAAGCCATATGGAGGTAATGGGATTTGGCCTTGAAGGTTTGAACATAATAAGACCATGCAATCTTTGCCCTCCACTTGAGCCTAAGCCTTTCTAACACCAAAAATAGACCCAAAAACACCAAAAACATGCGTCACCCTCTAATTAACACCCTAGCCCAAAATTAAAAATCCTAATCATCTATAGCACCCCATAATACAATGGTAAAATAGGAAATACAAAGGAAAATAAATTCTGAGTCCTAAACACCCCAAAATACAAGGGTAAAATTGGAATAAAGCAATAAAATCTATACTACTCAATATAGGCCTAGGAGAGGGATCCATACATGGCATCTCTCCAATCTCCTAGCCATGATCCATGTGATGGGTCTCACATGAAGTACCATGGATGGTCCTCCATCATGACCATCCAACCAATTTCAGGTGATATTAATTTTTTTACATTGTTATTTCATTATTTTATATTTGTTATCACTAAATGTGAATTTGTAATTACTAACTTATATTTAAATTGTTGTCATAGATCAATTAAATTTGGATGAGAATGATAATAATGATGCGCAAACACAAGGGGATATTATGGGAAACATAATCTAAATGAAAGTAATGTTGAGGAAACTATTGACAAAGGTTTTGGGTTTTTTGATGAAGAAGGAATGACTACCACAACTTTGACTCCTTGGACATAAATATTTTACATAGACTTGTTTAAAACATGTAGTTCGATTTTTTTTTAAAAATTATTTATAGCTTTGCTATGAGACTTGTTATATGTTTGAACTCACAAGTTACATTAGAACTTAAGTGAATTATTTATTTATTTATTTGAAACTCATATTTAGAACTTGTTTTATTTACTTAAAACTCATGAATGACATTATATAATTATGTTAAAATGCATTTGTAATTTCTTTTAAACTTTTTTAAGGAATATGTGAATTTTACTTAAATTTATAGGTTTGGAATATGTATGACATGAATATTCTTGAAAATATTTAATAGAGATCAAGTCATACAATTTAATAGGTGACCCACTAGCTTAACCTTTAATTTATTAATTTAGTACTGGTTTGATGATTGATCCAATTTTTAAAACACTATAAACCAAACAAGTAATGGTTATTTTCTACCCTACATAACCGGAAAATTCGAAAGAGTAATACTAGACAATTTCACTAAAACAATTTAATTATAAAGCTTATATATATTTTAAATATAACTACCAATTCTAACTGGTGCATCATTTTTGCTTCACAAAGCAACAAATTCAAGAGAAGATCACTTAATTATCACAGTACTGCTTTGCGGGAAAAAAAGAAAAAAACAGCTCTTTAATCTAATTTTGTTTAAGTAACACTTCACTAATAACTTTTTCCAAGTTCATGTATGAAGCACCACCAGGCCTCGTGTTCTCCCCTGCCATTTTCTTCAACTCCATGACCTTTTGCCTCATTTTCTTTCCTTTCGTTCCCGTCATCAATTCATTCACCATTTTCTCCACGTCCTCTCTCTTCACATTGCCACCGATTTCAATCGCAACACCACATTCATTGCAAATAAGTCTACAGTTTGTTGGTTGATCCGCAAAAAATGGCCAACACAACATTGGCACACCAGCACAAATGCTTTCAGTTATTGAGTTCCATCCACAATGTGTCAAGAACATACCAATTGAAGGGTGGTTCAGAACTTGCTCTTGTGGACACCAGCTTGCTATTAGGCCTCTATCCGAAGTTTCATTGACAAACTCAGATGACAAAATCACCGAGCCACCAATGACAAGATCAGGCCTAATAATCCAAAGAAAGGGTCTCTTGCTGTTGGCCAAACCCCAAGCAAACTCCAAAAGTTGCTGTGGAGACATAACTGTGATGCTACCAAAATTCACATAAACAACAGACTTTGCTTCCTTGGATTCAAGCCATTCAAGACACTCAGTATCTTCCTTCCAAAGATTGGAACCTAAAGATGCCAAGTGGTTCTGTGGACTTTGACTTAAAAATGAAGGAAAAGGTCCAATGGGGTAAAGAGAAGGGAGCATGGAGGAGAGAACATTCAATGCATCTTTCTCAAGTTCATCAAAACTGTTTATAATAATAGCAGAGGCTCTGTGCATATTATCTGCCACTTCCATGAGGAATTCTACCATAAAGTTGTTTCGATCTGTACTCCGTATAAAGTCAGGAAAGTCCTTCAGCCTAAAGTTTTTCATACCTGGAATCCAATCCACTTTTGTGTCCAAATATCCATTTGTCAAATAACTCTCATCTGCAATCATGATTACAAAATTTACAAAGCCAATAGCTCCGAGTTAAATATTTCAAAACCCATACATAAATATATAAACGTACAATTCTTGCATCAGCATGTACCCAACAGTTACAACTAGTAAAAAACATTAAAGTAACCTTTGCTAAGACTTTGTTACCTCTTCAATTATTATTTCATGGTAGAATTACTTGGATTTGGTCTCTCTAAGATAAATCAAGTTAATCTTAGTCTTTGAAGAGAAAATCAATAACTACTAAAATCAATTAAGATTACTCATTGTATCTCCTATAACGAGTTGCTCACCTTAAAGAAACCACTTTGAATTACTCATGTTCATGAACTTTGTTACAGAAAGAGCTTAAGTTGATACCTTTGAGTGGTATGAGACCTTTATCAAAAAGAGTGCGGTAGTGCATAACAGCCAATAAGGAACAAGCACTGGCCGGTGGAAATAGAACAATAGGGAGTGAAAGTTCTTGAGCAGCTTGTAGAGTAAAAGTCATGGCACAATCAGAAACCAAGCAAGTAACAGGAGTGGCAGAATGATTGAGTTTAGCAAGAAGATCACGAAAGGGTGTGAGAAAGTTCTCTCTCACTGATTTACAAAGGGACACTATGTCTTGAGTGACATCAGCATCTTCGTCTGTTGTGGGAAGACCATCTCGAATAGTCTCAAAATGAAAATCTGAGAGGCCATCAAGTGCATTAGAACCCCTTGATTTGATCAAGCGTTTGTGGTTGTATTCAGTGTGGACAAAGGTTATGTGAAAGCCTCTCAGATGAAGCAACTTTGCTAGTTTGAACAATGGATTGATATGGCCTTGAACTGGATATGGGGTCAACACGGCATGTGGCTTTCTCTCTGCAGAATTAGTCATCTCCATTTTACCTTGAGCTATGAACAGCGATGAGATACAAGATAAGCTTGCGCTTCCTTTATCAGGACCTGCCTAAAAAAATTGAGACAAAGACAAATTTTATATTTAAAATATTATTTTTTATTTTATTATAATTACATTAATGACAATAAAATTTGAATTTAGTACCTTGCGGCCTTGCGCATATTATCATAATTTCCATAATTAGAGTCGACGGTAATAGTTCACTTTTAAATATTATTCTTTAATATAACTTATTAATTTATATTTTAATTTTCTAACTTTTTAATACTAAAATTGTTCTCGAAAAAATAGTAGCACTATTGTTAATCAAAATTTAATAATCATTTAATTTCAAAATTTTACTCTAGGATTATTCATTCAAACACTATCTTGTAATTTAATAAATATCAAAGTGAATCTAAAAGTTTTAATTTTGAAAAAAATATTTTAAAAATAACAACAATTTCAAGTATTATTAATAATATTTTGTAAATATTACATGCATTTAAAAATAATTTTTAATATAATTTAGTATTTCTAATAGGATATTACTTTCTTTTGTTAATAGTTTTTAGTACCTTTAATTTAGAAAAAAAAACATAAGAAGAAGCTAAACTCACTAATGATGCTCAATAAAATTTAAATTTGTTTCAATATTAATATCATATTATTTTAATTTATTCTCCTTTAAAATTTTTGAATATTGATATTCAAATAAAAAAGTTCAAAGTAATTTTATATTTAATTTTTATAAATTGTTAATAAAATAAAATAAACCCACCTTATATATATACAAAACATTCAAAACTAAAAAAAAAATAACTTTTAACTAAAAGAATTAGTCATCCTTCTTGTTTTCATTAAAATACTTTTAAAAAACTTTTATTATTTTTATATAGTTTATTCTGAATATTCAATTTAATATATTTTTTTTAGTATAAAGAAATTGTAAAATAATTTTTAAAATGAATAATAAAATGTCTCACATAATTTATACAATATTATCATTTATACATATTTTTAAACTATACAATCTTACTAATAAATTAATATAAATAATTTAATAAATATTATTATTTAATAATCAAAATTAATTTTTAGTATATATATATATATATATACATATAAAATTAAAACCTGAAATGGGGCTTAAGGTTGTCGCCTCATCGGCCTTACCGGAGCCACGACCTTGTCCTTTACCAAATTACACGGCCGTTTTAACTAAATTACGTCGATATAAGATAATTTGGTAAAAATAATGTTAAATTTATTAATAATTTAAATTATTTTTTAAAAAATTATGTTTAATATATCTTAAATGAGGATGGTTCAAATGACACCGGTTTAACTTTTACTAAGTGTTACATTACACAATAATTTTATATTAAATGTGAATTTTGTAAATCCAACCGTTAGATTGAAAGTTCTTTACTCTTAGATCATATATACAAAATTTTATATTAATCAAAGATGATTTGATACTTCATTCTTATAAAAAAAAATTGACGTAATATATTTATTTCAAAATATACTAAAATATAAATACTTTGATTACCCTCAAGTTGTTGTTCGATTTTAACAAAATTTGATATACACATATAAAGTGATATGAATTTTCAATTTAACGGTTGGATTTACAAAATTCACATTTAATATAAAGTTATTGAGTGGTGTAACATTTAGTAAAAGTTACACCGGTGTCGTTTGAACTTTCCTCATCTTAAATTAATTGTTTTTACTTAATTATTTCTTATTTAATTAATTAAATTTTAAAATAGATATATTTATGTGTTTATTTTTTTTCCAATCTTTATAAGGAGAGAGAGATTTATCTAATTAATTTCAAGTATTTATTATTTTTTATTTAATAAAATTATTAATTAAATAAAATATTTTAAAAAAAATATAATAAATGCAACGGAGAAACAAAATCTTATATAAAGGAAGAAGGAAAAAGTTAAAAAAAAAAAAATAAATAAAAACTTAGATAATTCTTTTTTAACTTATAATGTATTTATAAGGATAAAATTTAGATGATGTTCTACAAGAATTTTTAATTTTATTCTACCAATATCTTCTTGATAACTAACAAAACCTTAAATCAAGTAGAGAAATCAAATGAAATAAATTATAAACTTTGTTGATACTAGTTCAGTGCACCTTGGAACAGTTGGTGACCATAGGTAAGGTGCACATGTTGGTATCAGCAATTCACCACCAGGTGATTCTAGATTATATGATATAAGTGGAGATTTTTGACATTTGAGAGCATGACACTTGAGTCCATGTGCCCATTATAGAAGTTTAGATAGTAGGACAAATCCTGAGTACCTTTGTTCTATGGTCGAGTAGCCTAACTAGGGTCCACATGCCTAAGGTAATCAATATTTCAATTTACTATATTCTAAATAATGTCCTTAATTAAATGTGTTTTACTAACTTAATTATTTGTATTTTATGATGTTTAGGTTGATTTTGGAAAAGGGAAAGATATTTGGAAAAGGGAAAGAGATTGTTGCTACACATGCAACACCTTCTGAGTTTTCTCTTATCCATCGATTAGCTTTGACAACAATTGATTTTGGGGTGTGTGACATAGAGATTACCATGTTGTCTAAGATCATTGGCAAGGATGTGTCTATCCCTTTCTCTATATGCCAACGTCATGCCATGGACCTCCTTTCTAGTGATGACCTCCTTTCCATATTTGTGATGCAGTTATGAATTAAGTGAGTATTATTTGTAATGATTTTTATTTTAATATATTCAATTACACATTATTAAGATTATATTTGTTTTCACAATTATAGATATCATCATCATGTTTTTGTGGAGATGGGAAATGTTTTTTATTATGGTTTCATTGACTCGATTGCCATCTAGTATGTTGAGAACAAAGACACTAAGGTGAAACAATATTTCATATACCAGTTTAGGCTAGGAGGAAAGGAGATGTACTTAGAACCTTGTTTGAATGAGTAAGTACTTGTATTATATTTTATTTAAAGTTTACATTAAATTAGCAATTTCTAACACTACTATAAAATGCAATTCACATTGACAACTCCTCATTATAATTTCCAGACAGTTTCTTGTAGTTATTTTGTGTTCATTACATAAGAAAACTATCGAGTTGCATGTTAAACAACTCATTGACTCGTAGGTATTTACTTTTAATCTTGTGGTTTTTTCTTATAATTTAATGAAACAAATAATTATTTCATTCATTAACTATTTTTGGTTTATCATTCATTTTCGTAGATTTTTGGATGCAAGCTTGATCTTACGGGAGCTTCCTCTAATAACTCAGATGAAGTTTCAATATATTGCCTTAAAAGTAAGTCAACTGTCATCCAAATAATAGTTATAGTTCAATTAAAATATATTCTAACCATGATTTATTTATGTTTGATATTTACTAAATTATAGTGTTTACATCAACTAGGTAATCATAAATGCATCTATTACATGGTAAATCACATTTTCACTATTATTGTTGGCAACATTAGATAGTCATGGAGAGAGGAAATACATTTTTAAATCAAATTAATTACTTTAAATGATTGTGCAATAATTTAATGATCAACAAATATTTGACTTATCTCTATTTTGAATTAATAGTATGTATTCAAAAATTCAACTCCATTTTCCCATGAATACATCATAGATATACATAAAAGATAGGCATTTTCTTTTTCTTGAGTTAATTTGAGGGTTGATTTATGTTTTTGTACATTATTTTAGTTTTCTTTTTGTACATTGACTAGTTTACTTTAGATTCATTGTTATTTGATAACATTGATACATTGTTATAGTAATTGTTCATTATTATTAATTAATGACATTTATTGTTAACTCTTTGGGTTTGCTATGTAGTTTAATTTGTACATTGATTCAATTTAAATAATAGATAAATTTAAGTCAAAAGATGAACCCCTAAATTCAGAGTTTTTAATGCTAACAAATTAACAAAGCGTTTTTATATAGAAGAAATGTCTTTGAAAACGTCTTTGAAAGGCTTATCATATGAAGTCTAAGAAGTAGATTTTCTATAAAATGATTGTTAATCAAGCGAAGCATAGAGTCTGTCTCATATATATATATATATATATATATATATATATATTTATTGAGACTAATGACAAAGATCTTTTTGAATGTTTATATTCCTTAATAGATTAAACCAAAAAACTGTCTTAGAACTCACAAATCTATTAAAGAGAAGAATCATGCTTTCCACCAGAACCAAATCCCCAAAATCATAGGAAAAAAAAGTAAATAAAGTCACTACTATAGTTGTTGTGTGCTAATATTGCTTCTACGAGCTTCGTTTGGTATGGAAAGTTGATAAGTAACCTCATTGACCAGATAAGAGGTATTATTTGGTGAAATACATTTAATGCTCGCATCAAATGTGTTAAACGATTACCTACAATCACAAGGGAAGATGATGAAGATAGACGAAACAAAATTGTGAGTTGGACTCAATGTGTTGCAATGGTCATCTTCTCCAGGTTATTATATAAGAATATTCAAAGCACAAGACAAAGAGAGACACTAATTGCAATTGATACATATACATTTATACAGAAACACTCTCTGAAAATCTATTCTTTCTTGTATATATTCATTGCTCTATAATTGGTTGTATAACGTCTAAGTGAGACGAACACAACATTTGAGTAACCTTTATAATCATTTTTATATGGTTGAGCTTGGAGAGACTTGTTTATAAAAGAATACTTGTTTTGAGCCTGGAAAGACTTGATTGTAAAAGAATATTTGGTTGTTAAACTTGGAGAGGCTTATTGTTAAAAGAATATTTGGATAGTTACTTGAAGAAGTAAATCAAAGAATACTTAAGGTTGAGTTAGAAGTGACTTGTTAAAAGAATACTTGTATCTTTGTCTAAAGATAGTGAAAATAAATTTGGTTTGATTGAGAATTGGACGTAGTCTGGGTAGTTGAGGTGAATAAATATAAAAATACTCAGTGTTCTTTATGACTGCTCTTCTTGCTTTATCTGACTAGCATTAGTACTTCACTACAAAAAA